AGCATATTTTCAGTGGGTGGGATGAGGCCGGAGGAGAGATGGAAAATGGTGCTCTTCTATGCAGAACTTCCACTTCATGTACTTTGATTTTTTACAGAGAAGAAGAGAGGGGTAGAGAGTTAGAAACATCGATTAGAGAGAATCATCGATCAGCTGCCTCTTGCACACCCCCCACTGGGGATGTGCCCGCAACCAATGTACATGCCCTTGACGGGAATTGAACCTGGGACCCTTCAGTCTGCAGACCGACGCTCTATCCACTGAGCCAAACCGGTTTCGGCTAACCAAGCCATTTAATTATATGAAGTTCATGTGCTTGGTACCTTTGCTATGTATTCTGAAAATATAACTTTTAATTCCTCTTTTTTATTATCCCTTTACAGTTTAAAAAAAAATTATTGGTATTAGTCAAATATGCGAATGACTGCTAATTCTCTTACTATCACTTATTCTTTATTCTAGACTTTTAAAAAACGATTCTTAGCTCATGCATATAGTATTACATTAGCAGAACTGTGTTTTTACTGTACCAAATTTTATTGGATGTTTAGATAACATCCACTGCACTTTGTTTTCCGTAGAGTTGGCAGTGCCATAGTAAAGCCACAAGTGACTTTGCATTTATTACCTCTTCAAGTCTAGTTGCCACATCTGGACAATCCAATGACAACAGGTAGGTTGACAGAAAAGCAAAATAAGTAGTTTTTTTTTGTTTTTTTTCCCCAGACAGGTATTCTTGGAGGCTTTTTCCACCCTAGGAATATAAAAACTTTGTTACATAATTCTTAGATTACTTTTCCTTACCAAGAGAAAAACAAAAAATACTCCTAATTTAGTTATCAATAAGCATGTATAATTATTACCCAGTCATTTCTTTGCATTGCTGTTAGTACTGTCATGTTCTTGAGGATTAAAAAGCATTTGACACTCTAGCCATCATTCTCAACATCATCTTTGACCTCACAGTTTTCATTGACATGAATAACTTCACATCCCTGCAGCGGTTCCCCCTGCGGCTATAGGAACGCCCCTTGTACTCAGGACACCATGTCTGCTTCCTGGCAGCGGTCCTGGAAAAGGGGAGGGGCTGGGGATAAGACTGGGCAGAGGCAAGAGAACCATGGACAGAACTGTACAGTGTGAAAAGATAAAATCTTAGAGGAGATATCCTCCTTCTAGTTGAGAATCACTACTTTATAAATGCAGTGTACAAAAAAAGATAAGATTCAATAAGATATTTGACTTGAAGACAGTTTGCCCCTACTGATGCCTCAGAACAATTATTCATGATGTAATTTTGTTATTCTTTGTTTCTTTATAAGAAATGTATGCCTCTGGGACACTTTGATACCACCTGGAAACAGCCTCATTCATGGTGAGTAAGGCCTATGGCTTGTAATACCCTCTGAAGGAATGCTTCCCTGGTTTTCTTTCACCAGGGAATCTAGTCAGTGTTTAATTACATGGGTTGATGGAAAAGTATTTATAAGTTAACTAGAATATCTGGCTACGTTGCCAAGGTAAAGATGTGTGGGCATAGAAAACCAGCTAGCCTAGAGTGGCCTTGAGTTGTATTCTCATCAGAAAATGTGGCATGGAGGGCAGTGTTACTAACACTGTGTAAGGAATTAGTTACACTGTTCACTGATCTCAACAGAAATAAGATCTTATTTTAAAGAATTAAACATAACCTAAGTCAACCTTACAGTAGGAGCTGGAAATAGGAGCAATAACATTTAAATATTACTTTAAGACAGTATTTTCCAAATTGGTGTCCTAATGCTCTCTCTTCTTCATGATGCTGCTGAAAGAATGCTTTAGCCAATGAGTCTGGTTAAAGCTTGGTAGCTTTTTATATTTTTAGTTTTATTTATTTTTATATTTTTATTTGAATGAAGCATCAATGATGAGAGAGAATTGGTTGCCTTCTGCACACCCTCCACTGGGTACTGAGCCCACAACCCTGGCATGTGGCCTTGACCAGAATCAAATCTGGGACCTTTCAGTCCACAGGCCACTCTCTCCACTGAACCAAATCAGCTACGGCTGGGTTTTTATTTTTAACCAAAGGATTTCTCAGACTATTACTATGCTTTTGTGGATTTTGAATAGTGTAGTTGTTTCACAATTTTATTTAACATCTTTTCAAGATTTGTCATTTAGTGGTGCGTCTTTAATCTTTAAAATGCAGAGAATCTGGGAAGACTAACTCTCTAACGGGTAGCTGGTTTTTTCACATTGTGCTACTTGAGTTTCAGCTACTTACCTGAGAAGACTTTACCAGGCGTCCGTCCGGGCAGGAACTGGGAGAGGGTAATACCTGTCAGTGGTGGCTCTCAGTGAGGTAGCATGTTTGAGTGGCGCTCCCCCTGTGGGAGCACACTGACCACCAGGGGGCAGATCCTGCATTGAACATCTACTCCCTGGTGGTCAGTGTGTGTCATAGAGACCAATCATTCCACTGTTGGGTCAGTTTGCATATTAGTCTTTTATTATATAGGATAGAGGCCCAGTACACAGGAGGGAGCCGGCCAGCCTGCCCTAATGGGGACCCCCCATTGGGTGGAGGTCCCTGATGGGGATTGGGATCAGCAGGGGCAAGAGGCCACTGGCGTTCTGGTCATAAAGGTCGTTCCGCCGTTTTGGTCACTGGGCTTTTATTAGAATGAAAAATGTCTAATCTCTGTATTTGTTATTTAATGCATATTTACATGTCAGAATTGCCAAGATAGAATTTAAGAAAAGGCTCTTGTTTTTCTTCAGGTTTCACATGCCATGAGCACGGCGCCACGGTACTGCAGTATGCGCCAAAGCACCAGCTCCTGATATCGGGAGGTAGGAAGGGCTGCGTCTGCCTCTTTGACATCAGGCAGAGACAGCTCATCCACACCTTCCAGGCGCACGACTCAGCCATTAAGGCACTGGCTCTGGACCCCTGTGAGGAGTATTTCACCACAGGGTCGGCAGAAGGGAACATAAAGGTGAGCTGGTAGCAGAGGTTGGGATTTCTGTAGTAGGTTGTCTTTATCTGCTGTCAAGGCTGCTTGGGAAGAAAACACTCAAACCCCACCTGTTCTTGCAAACAAGGGCATAAGGGAAGCTTTGTAGAGATACTATCTCCTGACACCCTTCTTCCTTCCTTCCAGGTGGTTCTTCCTACACTGTTGTGGTTGGGAAAACCAGACAGAGTTCTCTAAGGCATTTTGGGTCAAATGTAGGAGTTTAATTAGGGCCTGGATTTTTTGGTGACGTTAGTTCAGTGCCTCCTCTCTCCTGCCTCTGCTCTCAGTCCTTACTCTGTGTGTAGTTGAGGTGAGGTTTGTGGATGAGATGGTACTATTCTTTTATGTTGCGAGAGCCTAGCTTAGCATTGGGAACATGTTTAATCAAGTTAAATATGCAATTGAGAGAGGACACGAAATGGCAGAAGAATAGATGGATGGGTTCTGAGCCTTGTCCCGAAGCAGAAAGAGCAGCTGAGGGTCGCGCTAGGAGTGTTCGTTAGCAAGCTAAGAGACAGGCGAACTCCAGGAGAAGGTAAATATGCAATTGAATTAGAATTGGGGTATATGTGGTTAGTATGAAATTATAAGAGGATGTGAAGAGAAATTTGAAAGCAGGGACAGCAAAGGGTAAGGACAGTAGTTAATCATCTGAGTGATTTATTTTCAGGTTGCTAAGCTGTTAGGAAGAGTCAGTGGGTGAAAACTGGGCCAGGGGACCAGAAGTGAAGATCAGGTTTTTGCTTTTGGTTCTCTCTCTCCTTTTTTTGGTGACTTATACTTTGTTTTCACTCTCCCTCTTTTAAACCAGGTTTGGAGATTGACAGGCCATGGTCTGATTCATTCCTTTAAAAACGAACATGCTAAACAGTCCATATTCAGAAACCTTGGGGCAGGAGTCATGCATATCGACATCATCCAAGGCAACCGGTTCTTCTCCTGCGGGGCAGATGGCACTCTGAAAACCAGGGTCTTGCCCAATGCGTTTAACATCCCTACCAGGCTTCTTGACATTCTATAGATTCAATATTGGAGCTTTATTTTTATAAACATTTCAATTAAAAAACACACTGCAGTAGTTATTAGGCATTTCTGCTTTCCAAGCAGTTAACATACTGAAAACAATACAGAGAATCTCTGTAGAAATTGAAAGATTCAAACTGAGTGTTGTGCTGAGTGTTGCCTATATACAGGTTGTTAGAATGACTGTGCATGTACCTTTTATCGTGCTGACGTTCTTAAAAAAAAAAAAATCAAACCTAGTATCATATGAAGGGTACTGTTCATTACAGCATTTATTAAACCTGATTCAGAACACATTAGTAAGTTTAATAATGAGAAGGACCTTTGTACCAAATTAAGGGAGAAAATGTTGCTGGTTCAGGTTTTTCTTCCTATTCTTACCACTGACCGAGGCATGCCTGCAGTCTCCTCTGTTGAATGAGGACAGACACAAGGTATTAAGCTCTTGATCACCGGAGTGTGCAGTGACCAGCGAGGTCGTTCCCATGCTTTCCTGTTAGTGTTTAAACTGAGCTACTGCTGTAACTTGCAAATGAGTGCAAATTTAAATGCAATGTTTTCCTTACGATTTGCACATTCATATTGTTTGGACTGCTAGTTTTTCTATTTAAACATTTGCCTTCATGTTAGAATGTAATATTGTGAACATGACACATTTGTAATTAACCAAAACATACCAGTGTAGTACTTTTTCATGTATTCATGATTTAACACCCAGAACATTTTAAGGTTATGTTGAAACTACACCAATAGAACATTCCATATCCTACTTACAATGAATGTTAGGCTTTTTGTGGCCAGTTAATAGTTGACGACATTGGTGATATTATTTATTACCACAGCCTATTGTATAAACTATGCAGGATTAAATATTATTTGCTTGTAAAATATTAGCCAGTGTTGTTATATTTTGCTGTACCTCCTTGGTTATGACCAAAATATGTTAAGCTATTGAAACCAATGTCTGTGTGTTTAAATGTTTACCGGCAAATTGTCTCATCATTTTAATAAGAATGCTTAATGCCTGTGCGGTAAATAGTAAAATATAAAGGCATAAAAGCACTTTTCTCTGAAGGCAATGTGATGTTCAGGCTGTGCAATATGTATGTAAAGGAAAAATAAATGTAATTTGTTTGAGTTTTACCTTAGTTTGGTCTGGCATTTTTGGATAATAAACTGTTGGGATCATTTTACATGTGATAAAATGTTTAACTTTTAGAGAACTTTCAAGCTGTTAAGAAGTTCATTCACTCACGAATATTTACTATGAACCTTCATCAGAAGCCATTCTAGGAAATGGATACAGTGGCAACCCAAATGGAGAGGGCAGGGCGCTCAGGGGGGGATGTAGCTGGGTAAGAACTAACCTCATTTACTGAAATGCAGACACTGGTGCTGATGCTGAGCTGGGAATGGTGCTTATGTGGAATGTGGAGCAGTGAGAAAAGGAGGAGACATGCTTGAATGCATGGGAACACAAATTTGAAAAAAAAAAAAAAGAAAACGTGTACGTACACTTACCTCAGTTTTGTATACAAAAACCTGCATACGTTGCATCCTCTCTGTCATTGTATATATTACACTGGAATAGTCCCAGCTAATTCATTTGGAATCTGTAAGGTAATAGAATTTTCAAACTGAAATTTTAAAACTATTGGTAGCTGCCACTTTCTTTAAGCTATTGCTTTATAGTAATCTACCATGTTACTAATTGGTGTGTTTTTTTAATTAAAAATTTAGAAGATTTAGGGGTGTGTATATGTGTGTGTGTGTGTGTGTGTGTGTGTGTGTGTGTGTATATTTATATATATATAAATGAGGTGCCCTAGGCAGTTTGGCTCAATGGATAAAGCGTCAGCCTGTGGACCAAAGGGTCCCAGTTCCATTGTGGTCAGGTGCACGTGCCTTAGTTGCAGGCTCCTCCCCAATCCAGGTCCTGGTGGAGACTTGTGCAGGAGGCAACCAATGGATGTGCTTCTGTCACATCGATTATTCTTCCTGTCTTTCCCTCTCTCTTCCACTCTCCCCAAAAATCAATGGGAAAATATTCTCAGGTGAGGATTAACACAACAATAATAACAATAATAAATTGAGCCAATACCACAGAGAGCTTCCATCTACTCCCCTCATTAGTTTCCCTCATTAATAACATTTTGCATTAGTGTGATACATTTGTTATAACTAACGAACCAGTATTGTTGCATTTTAAAGTCCATGGATTACATTAAGCTTCATTCACCCTTTGTGTTTACAGTTCTGTTTCAAAGAAGTCATAATATCACATATCCAGTATTACAGAATCATACAGAATAGTCTCATTGCCCTTAAATGCCCGAGTTCACCTATTCATTTCTTCCCATTTACCCCTAATGTTTAGCAACCACTGATCTTTTTCCTGTCTCCATAATTTGCTTTTACCAGAATGTCATAGAGTTGGAATCACATACTATGCAGCCGCTTTAGATTAGCTTCCTTCACTTAGCGATATGTATTAAGACTTCTTCATATCAGTAATAATATTCTATGTACTGCAGTTTGTCTATTCACCTTTAGAAGGAAAGTGGTTGCTTCTAATTCTTTATAATTAGAGTAAAGCTGCTGTAAACATTTGTGAGCAGGTTTTTGTGTTGACATAAGTTTTCAACTCATTTGGCAAAATGCCTAATAGTGAGATTGCCGGACTGTATGGTAAGACTGTTTGGCTCTTAGATTGAAATGGATTATAATGGCATTTTTTTTCCCTAGGGAAGTTATGCTAATGGTGATCATTTATTGAGTTCTTACTGCATTCAGCCCTGAGTTAAGCAACTTATAGATTATCTTACTTAACCTACAAAACAACCTATCAGATACTATCTTTTTGTTGGAGACAATATACTTTTTAAACCCTAATTTATAGGTGAAAAAGTTAAGACTTTGAGAAATTACTTAATATAACTCAGAGGCATAAAGATTCTAATTTAGTTTGACCGGAGTTCACACCCACTTAGCCTATATTATATTGTAACTTTGTTCTGCAGATGTGTGAATCCTGCTCACAGATCCCCATGAACTCAGAGAGAAGCTAGGCATATATTGCCAGGTGGGCTTTTGTATGTAGACACAAGGACATAGCACCTGACGCAAACCATCAAAACCTTTTTGATCTGCTTTCTACCCAAAACTCAAAATCTGAGTCTGGGTTCCAATGTTGCTCCAAAATAAGGGAGGTCAGAGTATGCACACTAACAAGAGGACCCAGAGGGAAAAAACTTGAGAGAAACTTTGTGATCCCAATCCCTAAAGCAAAACTGGTCCAAGCACTCTAGCCAGTTTGGCTCAGTGGACAGAGCATCGGCCTGTGGACTGAAGGGTCCCGGGTTCGATTCCATGCACCATAGTCCAAGGGCACATGCCCGAATTGCAGACTCAATCCCCAGTGTGGGGCGTGCAGGAGGCAGCTGATCAGTGGGTCTCATCATTGATGTTTCTATGTCTCCTACCCTTCCTCTCTGAAATCAATGTACCAGTATATAAAATAAAACAAACAAACAAAAAGTGGCCCAAACTACCCAGCCAGGCAGGATACTTTGAGCCTAAATGCGTTGAGGAGAGCTTCCAAAAGGATGGAGAGCAGTTCCTCTGTCAGGTAAGAGCAATAAGAGACTAGATTTGCCCTCTTGCTTAAAACAAAACAAAAGTAAACTATATTTAAAAATGGTCCTCAAGACACTGGACATCAGGCAGTGGAGGATAGTGATCCCTGAGACACTGTTAGCATTGTTATTGTCCCAATTTACCACGTAGAGAGGGGAGACCAGGCAGGGTCTCTCTGCCTGGCAGCCCCTCTGAGGTGCCAAAGAGAACTGGGAGTTGGGAGGCATGTTAGCTCGAGGTCAGACAAGAGCTGCATAGAGACCTACTTCCGGTATTCAGCTGAATATGAATTAGTGCACATGCGTAAAAAACCAGTGGCCAAAGAACATCTAAAGCACTACGGTCTAAACACAGAAAGCTTGGAATAGTTTATATTTTCACCAACAAAACTGGAAAACCTTGTAATCCATGGAGTATGAGGTACAGTACTCAGTTTTGCTGCAGTAATCAGACAGAATGAATCCTAGACAAAACACTGCTCTAGTTTCATCCAAGAGTGCTAAAAAAGAAAACGACCAAACTATTTTCAAATTGCTAAATTGCATCTCATAGCAAAGCTCCAGAATAATTATAGAAATACAAAAATATCCAGCACTCAACAAGGTAAAATTCACAATGTCTGACATTCAATTAAAATTACCAGGCATATGGTGCAACCACTGTGGAGAACAGTATGGAGTTTCCTCAAAAAACTGAAAATGGAACTCCCATTTGACCCAGTAATCCAACTCCTAGGAATATATCCCAAGAAACTAGAAACACCAATCAGAAAAGATATACTATGCACCCCTATGTTCATAGCACAATTTACAATAACTAGGATTTGGAAACAGCCTAGGTACCCGTCAGCAGATGATTGGATCAAAAAACTATAGTACATCCACACAATAGAATACTATGCTGCCATAAAAAAAGAAGGAATTCTTATCATTTGCAGCAACCTGGATAGAATTGGAGAACATCATGCTGAGTGAAATAAGCCAGTCAATGAAAGAGAAACACCACATGACCTCACTCATTTATGGATAATAAAGAACATTATAAACTGATGAGCCAAAAGATAGATATAGAGACAGTAAAGCAACAAGCAGACTGTAAAATTACAGCGGGGAGGGGAGGGAGATCTGGGGGAGATAAAAGATCAACCGAAGGACTTGTATACCTGCATATAAGTACAACCAATGGACACAAAACTCTGGGGAGGGAGGGCATCTATGGGAGGGGGGCCAATGGTAAGATATGTACACAGATAATAATTTAATAAATTAAAAAAGTTACCAGGCATGGAAAATATGTCCATAAAGAGAAAAATCAACCTCTCAAAAAAATGATCTATAAATAACACAGGTGATGAAATTATCAGAAAGGATATCAAAATAGTTACAACTATATTTTTATGTACAAGAAGCTAGAGAAGAGATTAAACATGTTAACTGGAGACATAAAAGACATTTTAAAAAATCACATGTCTAGCAATAAAAACTACAGTGTCCAATATGAAAAATACAATGATAGAGATTCAAAGATTAGACATTGCAGAAGGAAAGTTTAGTGAATATGAAGACATGGCAATAGACACTATACAAAATGAAACAAACATGGAATAAAATGAGCACAGCATCAGTGAGCTAGGGGATAACTTTAGGCAGCCTGATATGGTGTAATTGGGGTCACTGGAAGAAAAGAATAAAAAAATATAATTGAAATGAGGTCCAAAAAAGCTGTGGTACATTTACACCATGGAATACTATGCAGCAGTAAAAAAGAAATATCTGTTACCCTTAAAGACAGCATGGAGGGACCTGGAGAGTATTATGCTAAGCAAAATAAGCCAATCAGAGGAAGACAAGTATCCCGTGATCTCACTTATATATGGAATCTAATGAACAAAATAAACTGATGAACAAAATAGATTCAGAGACATAGAAGCATGGAACAGTCTGTCGAATCTCAGAAGGAAGTCAGAGTGAGTGGGTGAGTGGAAAGAGATCAATCAGAGAACTTGTATGCATGGTCACAAACAATAGGGTGGTAAAGGCCTGAAGGGGGCGGATATCAGGGGGCCAATGGGGGACAAAGGGAGACATATGTAATATTTTCAACAATAAAGATTAGAAAAACAAAAAACAGAAGAGAAGTAATGTACAGATATCTTCCAGTTTTGATTTTTAAAAAAAGGGGGTGGGGGTGGGGAAGAGAGTAACTTGGGAACCTATATACATATATGCAAAGTTCATGGACACAGAGTGTGTTGAAGGCCTTGGAGGGAGGTGTGGGATGGAGAGGGTCAATGAGGAAAAAAGAGGGGGGAGAGGGGACATCTGTAATTTTTCAACAATAAAGATAAATTTTAAAAAATAGATCCAAGAAGTTGAATGAAATTTAGGCATAGGAAACATGGAAGAAATCACATTGTCACATCATAATGAAATTGTTTAAAGCCATGGTAAAGAGAAAAATCTTAAGTGCAGCAAGAGAAAAATAGACACATTTTATACTAATGAGCAAAGGTAAAAATAGAGAAGCAGCATTTTTTCCCCTAAAAACCAAAAAGCTCACAATATTTTTTTTCAAATATACTAGTATATATTTTCCCATCATTATATATCATCCCCTAGAAAGTAAAATTCTTAACACAGTGAAAATAATTTTTAAAAATAAAAGTGAAATATCCTTCTCAAACTCTTCATAGAAAAAAAAAAAAAAAAGAAAGAAAAAAGAAGAGCAACACTTCCAAAATCATTTCACAAGGCCAGCATTACCCTGATATCAAAACCAGACCAAGATGCCACAGAATATAGAATCACAAGCCAATATCCCTGATGAACACAGATGTAAAAATCATTTACAAAATATTAGCAAACCATATTCAACTGCACATTAAAAGGATTACCCACCATGATAAAGTGGGATTTATTCTAGGGGTGAAAGGATGGTTCAACATCTGCAAATCAATATGATATTCCACATTAACAAA